ATTTTCTTCTAAGTTTTCTTCCAAGTTCAATTTATCAATTTTTTGGGAGTTAATCTCAATTTCATCTTCTATAATATTTGGTACTTTCATATTTCTAGATTCATCAAATATAACATGTGTGGTCTCCTCAATTACCAAAGTTCTTCTATTGAATACTCTATAAGATTTTCCAACACTTGAGTATCCAACAAAAATTCCTTCATCTAATTTTGGATCAAATTTTCTTAAGAAATATTTTCCATTGTTATGAATGAACACCTTGCAACCATAAATATATAAATGAGACAAATTAGGTGTTCTCCCTTTTAGCAACTCGTATGATGTTTTATTCAATTTTTATCTTACATTTATCCTATTCAGAACATAACATGCAGTACTAACCACCTCAGCCCAAAAATATTTAGGAAGTGAATATTCTGCCAACATTGCTCGAGCGGCTTCTATTAATGTCATGTTTTCCCTTTCGACTACCCCATTCTTCTGAGGGGTTCTAGATGCAGAAAAGTTGTGATCAATTTCTTTTTCTTTACAAAATTCTTCAAATCTCTCATTCTCAAATTCTCCTCCATGATCACTTTGAATAGAAATAATTTCACACCCTAATTTCCTTTGAATCCAAGTCGAAAAATTTCTAAATTCCTCAAATGATTCACTCTTATGAAATAGAAATCTAACACATGTGAATCTTGAGTAATCATCCACAATCACAAATTCGCATACCTTCCCTCCTAGACTCACAGTTCCAACTGGTCCAAAAAGATTCATATGTAAAATCTCTAAAGGTTTACTAGTTCTAAGATCCTTATAGGACTGAAAAGAAGACTTCACTTGCTTTCCTAATTGACATGCATCACAAAGGTGGTCCTTAGTAAAGTCTAGTTTTGGTATACCTCTCACTAAGTTCTTTTGGATAATCCTCCTAAGATTTTTCATGCTAGAATGACAAAGTCTCCTATGCCAAATCCATGACTCATCAGATACAGTTTTCAAACAAAAAGCAATAGGAGTTTGAATGCAATTTAAATCTAGCATATAAACATTATTTTCCCTTTTTTCATTTAAAACATCTTTACCATTTAGCCTTAATATGCAGCTAGTAGGAAAAAAATTTACACAGTAACCCTTATCACATAGATGACTTATACTTAACAAATTATGTTTTAAGCCTTCAACCAATAATACATTGTCTATGAAAAAAATTCTTAAAATTTCTAATCATACCTGTCCTAACCACCTTCCTTGTGGTATTATCTCCAAGAGTAACCTTGCCTCCACTCTTGGCTTCCAGCATTATGAATTGAGCAGTATCTTCAGTCATGTGCTTTGAACATCTGCTGTCCAGGTACCATATGCTCTCACGAGGTCTTGTGTGAGTGCGACCATGCAAAATTATTAAACATTAGACCTGGGAACCCAAACAAGTTTGTGTTCACCTTTTAGGAATTTATAATCAGATGCATGTATAATATGTCTAGGTTTATGCATCTTAGGTCTCTACACCAATAGTTTTTATCTTTAAAGTACAGGTGTGAGCTATATGTCCAAAAAATCCATAATTATTATATTTTACTTTAGGAAATGGATTCCTAAGTCTTCTAACATTCATCTATCTTTTCAGGGATTGCATAAATTTAGGATGCATAATAGGATTAGTAAAATCTTCAAGTTTAGGAGGTATCCTATTATTCTCGAGAGATTTTATCGTTAATTTGTAAAATGAATTCATATCTTCCAAAATTTGATTTATATAATTGGTTCTATAAAGTTTGCTTTCAAATTCATCCTTAGAATTCTTAAAATCTTTCTCGAGTTCTACATAGAATGATTTTAAATTCTCATGATTTTTATTCAAGTCATCAAACTTATCAAGTAATTTCATGTGGTTGTTATCAATCAAAGCATGATCTTTCCTAAGGATTTCATGTTCCTTTTTAAGCTCTTCCAATTCTAGACTTAGACTAGCATGCATTTTCTTCATTTTTCTATATGCATCATACATGTGTTCAGAAACTTTAAATAATTCATCATAAGTTAAGTCACATACCTCTTCTTGATCTGAGTGATCAAGACTGTCAGCCATTAAGCACAAATTAGTGACTTCATCTTCTTTTTTAGTCTCTGATGAATCTGAAGCTGAGTCCGCCCAGAAAGCTTTTTGAAACTTCTTTCTGCCCTTCTTTATAATAGGTTTCTCCTCTACCTTTTTCTTGTTAGGATTGGCTTTGAGTTTAGGGAAATCGGCCTTTATATGTTCAGGTTTCCTGCACTCATAGCAAATAACATCATTTAAAACCTTGGTATTTCTATTGAATTTACCTCTATTCCATTACTAGCATTTCTTCTGCTTCCTCTTCAGAAAGCTTCTGAATTATCTAGTCATCAATGCGATGTCTTCTTCATCCTCAGGTTGTGAGTGTTCACTCTCGGACTCTTCCACATTCAGTGCTATGTTCTTCTCCCTTTGTGGTTCACCTGCATCAATCTTTCTTTGGCAAACTCCTTGCTCGTAAGCAATAAGCAAACCAAGAAGATTGTCAATAGAATAAATGTTTAAATTCTTAGACTCTATAATTACAGTAATTTTAGCATCATATGCAATAGGTAATCAACGAAGCATCTTATTAACCATTTCAGTATTTGTTAACTCCCTACCCAATGCATGCAAAGAGGTGACTATTTATGTGAATCTTGTGTACATATCAAAAATAGATTCATTTGATTTTATACGAAATAGTTCATAATCATACAACAAGATATTGAGTCGAGATTATTTAACCTCATTAGTCCTCTCATATGTTATACAAAGTCTATCCCATATGTCCTTTCCACTTTTGCAAGTAGAAACTCGCATGTAGTCTTCTGATTTTAAAGCACAAAAATTGGTATTTTAAAAAATTATCCCTCTTGAGTATGTTGAACCGAAAATAAACTTTAATGAATTTTTAGAAAACGTTTTTCAACCACAATTTTTACAACTAAATAAAATGCGGAAAATAAAAAGTAGTAAAAATTTAAAAGTCACATGATTTATAGTGGTTCGATCTAAACGAGACCTACATCCACTCCCCGGAGGCACCCTCCGAGTATTACACTAATACCACTAGTGACTCTCCTTTAGCACCCACAGCAAGGCGGAGAAGCCTTTAAAAAAACTCTTTCCACCGCTACTCGGTGCGATAGAGAACCACCTTCCTTTTACACTTATCCCCAGTGTTGGCAGAGAACCGTCCATCCTTTCACACTCTCCTAGTATGGGCAGAGAACCCTTCATCCTTTCACACTCTCCTTGTGTGAGCAGAGAACCCTTCGTCCTTTCACACTCTCCTAGTGTGGGCAGAAAACCTTTTGTCCTTTCACACTCTCCTAGTATGGGAAGAGAACCCGTGGCTGTGCACACTCTCCAAGTGTCGGCAGAGAACCAGATCTCCTTGACAGATCTTCTCACAAGAATTCTAGAAGGAAGAAAGAAAAGAGTGATGTAATCCCAAATCACAAGCAGAGATTCTTACCTTTAAACACCAAGCGAACCCTTCACACTCATGTGGTAGGAATCCTCCTTTTAATGCTCTCTCACACCCTCTCCTTGACTCTTCTTTCAATAGGCACGAAGATCAAATGGCAAAAATATTGGGTGGCAGTAAAAATTGGACCTTATATAGGAGAGATAAGAAAAACTGTCCAAAACTGCAAAAAATATTCAAGTTAACACTAAATAGAATGTCTCGTAAGATCGTGGATCGTCTTGGATGATTTTACTTAAAGTGTCATAAACGATCCTTATGTATATTGTTACGAACTATGTTTATACACGATCATCATCCCGTATGAACTAGGTTCGTCTGATATGATCAGTTACACCATAGTTTGTTTCCCAAATAACTGCATGGACCTAACCAACTTTAGTAAGTCAGTTCACATCGTCCTGGGACGAAGAGGACTTTTTACGGATGAAATTTTTACAGAGAGCAACTCGTCCTGGCATGATAATGAACTTTGTCTGAATGAAATTTTTACATAGAAGAATTCATCCTGAGAAGATTTGGATTTCGTCTGGACAAAATTTTTATGGAGCCCAAGTCATCCAGGCACGATTACAGATTTCATCTGAACAAAATTTTTACAGAGCCTAACTCATCCTAGGACGAAATTAATTTTGTCTTGGATGATTAGGACTTAGAAAAATTTTCTCCAAATCCTGTTCGTTCCATTGCTCCTACAAGGAGATAACTGATCTGGTCGTCCCGTACGATCAGTACAAATTTTGTAAGATCTTCTTAAGTATGTGTGTGTGTGTTTTTATTCACTCAATTATAATCACTCCCTCTCAATTCAAAGAACAATTTAAAGCTTCAATTTGCAAAGGATTGTATGCTGAATTTGATTTGAAGTTTTTATAGTTTAGAGTTCAATTTTCCTAAAATGTTAGTACACACAAGAGTAAAAACAAATCTTTCAAAAAGTGTTAGGAGATAATTACACATAAAACAATAATATTTGAAATCATCAAAACTATACAAGTTGCAAGAATGTAACATATGCAAATAACAACTCTTTTAACATGGTGAAAGTGATGTAAGGGCTATCTGCCTTATTGTGGGAGTAAAAGGAGAGTCGCTTTTTGTTACTGCAATTCTTGAAGGGTTGAAAGTTGCATTTGCATTAACAGAAATAAAAGGAGTACATAGAAAGTATGGAAAAGTTAACTGCCTTCCCTTGGAAAAAAATAAAAGTGGGAAGGTCTAAGACTGTAACGACACCCATACAAGTATGACACAACAAAAAGAAAGCAATAAAAGTAAGGAGAAGAAGCCCCTTTGGTTCACAAGGAGGCCCACCCCGATTACATGCCTCAAAAGATCCAGTAGTACATAGGGAACAACTCCAGAGGGGGGAGATACCTGAGAAAGGGGTCAACATGATCGAGGGTAGAAGGATATCCCATTGCTCCGGCAGCTGTTTGTGCACCACTGTAACACTAAGACATGGAAACCGGTTGGGTCTCATTGTTCCTCAAAGGGGATAAACTCCCCGCCAGAGTCATCTTGCAAGTTCTTCCTCCTTTTCGTGGGTAGGGTGGTAATCGGCCCAAGCTGGAGCAGTTGCTTCTCCATGAATGTCTTGGAAGTCTTCTGTTGTCTCTTTGAGAGATTGATAGTCGAGGGGGAGGCATCCTGATCCAGTTTAGAAGCATTAAAAGTTACCCTTTGATTCTTCGATGGGGAATTACTCGGGTTAACAATTTTGTTGGAGATCTCCTCCATTTGCTGTTGGATTTCCTTGGTCGCACAGGAGAGAGAGCCATGATCGGTGTCTTTGCTCTGCCCAGTAGATGGGAGAACAGAAGAGCCCTTCTGCTTGCCTCTCTTCTTACGGGTGACGAGATTCCACTCTCCAAAGGAGTCCTCTTGCTTCTCACGGTCAAGGGGACCGTCCCTAACAAGTTGTTCCGCTCCAGGGGGGTGGCCGCTCACAGGTAGGTCCCTAGGTTGGGCTCTGTTGGGATGTTGAACCCGAGCACTAGTGGGGGTCATACCCCCACCATTATTCTTCGACGAGCACTTCCCGTTGGCATGACCGATATACCCACAGCCAAAGCAAAAGTTGGTAAGCCCTTCGTATTCAATTCTTTGGAAGAATCGCCCATCAATACCATTAATCCAAACTCCTGGGAGCAGTTTTTGGGAAAGATCAATCCTTACACAAATGCATGCAAACGATGATTTACCCCATGTGCTCGTATGAGAATCCATCCAAAGAGGCTCCCCAATCCCATTAGCAATGCGTGTGATGTTGTTAACATCCCAATAGATCAACTGTAATTGCGGCAAACAAACCCAAATTGGGGAATGGAGTCCTTGCATCTATGAGGGAGAAAATGTGGAGGTCCACTTATCCATACCTATGATATTTCCGGCCACGATCCACAGCCCACTAGCCAAAATGGCATCCCTAGCCTCAATGCTTTGAAATATGCAAATAAAAGTATTAGCGGCAATGGTGATGATATCAAAATCCCCAAAATGATACCATCTCCGTTTCATCTCTTCAAGAAGGAACGGGAATGAGATCCGACGCCCCATTAGCTTAGCAATGATTGCCTTATCGAGTCTTGAAATGTTATCATTGACAGAGCCAATTTTTGGTTATATGCAAAGGTCATCCTTGGCAATCCACTGCTCACGGCTTAGGCGATTAATTGGCACATGTTGAACCTTCCTCCATGCGAAGGGTCCTTTGACAAACCCGTTCGGCTGCAGGATCGGGGCCTGTGTTGGCTGTAGCAGAGGTCTTGGCAAGTTCTGAGCTTTGGGGGCATTATAACAAACACCTTGGGGGCAAGCTCCATTAGTTTTGTTGTCACCGTCGGCAGGACCAAGGGGCTGATCACACCTAGGACTAGCAACATTGCACTCATTCATAGTGCAGTCCATCTCCACAGCAATCCCATTCCCATTCGAGATAAATCTTGGATCAGTATGCACCTCCATCTCGGTGCAATCCTCCCAAGACGTAGCCCCACGATTATCGGGATGGACGGCTTCCGCCAAAGCCCGAAGCTGCAGCTCAGCCCGAGTGCAGCTATCATCATCCATATCAGTTTGGGAGCCCGAATCATCCTTCAACTCCTCCATCTTGCTGGTTTTGCGCACCTCCTGGTCGTGCTCAGTAACTTCGCCATCCTCCAAACCATAGCTGCTCGCACGCGGGAGCCAGTGCTCGGGCTGTAGCTGCTCCCGTCCACAGCCTGGTCGGGGCCTTCCTCCTGTCCAACAGCAGCTCCTCTAGGAGGTGATATGCCGATAGTGCTCATAATGAGCTCCCGAACTGCTATAGGCTTGGATATTGGCGACGTTATGCCCAGCTCGAAGTTCCCCTTAAGAGGTACGAAGGTGGTGGTCAGTCCCTCCCTAGCAGCAGTCACCGAGCCCTTCGAGGCTGTAATCTTGCTCAACTCTTGAGCATTCTCCTTGCCCGGTCTTGAAGGGTTAGAGGCCTTGACCCCCTTCTCCCAAACTCCAAGAGGAGCCGTTCCCTTACAGGGGTTGGCTAAAAATCTGCCAATACCCGGAGATCTGGCCGGAATCCCGACCCTAGAGGCTTGTGCTGCCGGCCCACCACCGTCAGCATCTTTTGTAGCAAGCACTTGCCACCTATTTCCTTGTCTACCTTCCTTCTTGTCGCCGCCTTTACCTCCCTTTCCCCCATTTGGAGGAGGTGACCTAGGGCCACCCCCTCTAGCCATCCCAAAGCTTCTCACTCTAGAACCACTCTAGTGAGAGATAGAATTGGGAACAAATGAGAGCGTTATTTTCTTGAAGGGGGGGACTCTAAGGTGTGGATGTAGATCTAGGTTGGTTGAACCACTATAAAATTTTTGGTGTGCTTTATTTTCTTTACTTCACTTTTTGTAGTTAATATCTTTGATAATTACTTGGTAAAAATCTGAGATTAACATTCTGTTATATTAATTAGAATTTCATTATCATTATTGAAATTATTATTAAATTATTAGCTTCTATATTGGGTAATCAAACTATTTATTTCAAGTTTTGTAAAAATTTACAAAAAGAATAGAACTCTTGCTTAGAATTTTTTAAATTACCAATTCACCCCTCCCCCTCTTGGTGAGCCTCGAGCTAGTTCTATAAGGTTTAACAACCTTCTCAAACTTTTAAGTGGCATCAAAGTAGATATCAAAAATAAGGTTTTAGAAAACTTTTAAAAAATGATAAATGGCTCATTTTAGTAATCATAACACTACGGACGGTTAATCAGTAACCCGTCAACCTTTATTTGACAATATACGTTTTGACTTTTAAAAAGATTTGCATGTCTGATATCTTATAGTATATAGAATATCCTATATGGATGTTAGTCCAAGAAGTATATTCTACACCTTTTTGTCTTGTGAATGGCATTAAAATTGAACTATCATTTAATGAATTGATTAATGAGGATTAGGATTTAGCACAATTGAATGTAAAATATTTAAATTGTTTCTTATGTGCATTAAATCTTAAGATTATGTGCCTCTATCCACTTATACCACTGTAAAAGATATTTGGGATAATCTATGCATAACCTATGATGGAACAAGTGATGTAAAATACTCTAGGTTAAATATCCTACTTCATGACTATAAACTATTTTGTATGAAACCTAGTGAATCAATTTTTGAAATGTATACTAGGTTTATAAAAATAATAACATACCTTCATGTGTTAGATAGAGAACTCACTAATTCTAAAAAAGATAATAAGATTCTATATTGTTTACCTAATTCTTATGATGTAAAGATAACTTCAACTAATGAATCTAAAGACTTAAATGTTTACTTGATTGAAAATTTTGCATGGATCACTCATTTCCTACGAGCAAGGAGCGAGTCGAAGGTAAAGTGATGTAGGAGAAAAGAATAATGAGAGAACTTTAGTACTAAAACTAAATGATTATGGCAGTAACATTTCTATAGTATAGGAGGATGACAACATCACCTTAATGATGTGGAACTTTAAGAGCTTTTTGAAATGGAAATAGAGGCATCATGAACAGCATTGGAGCATAGGTAAAAGTAACAAAAATATTAGAGTTTCTTATAACATAATTTTAATTGAATACAGGAAACCAGGACACCTTTGAATTAACTGTCCTAACCTAAAAACTCACCCCATCAAAGAGAAGGGTGAAGAGAAGCCAAAGTTCAAGAGGGGTAAACAAATGACATAAAAACTTTCTATCCTAGCTCTGCCTTAGAATATTTATAATTGGAAGTAAAGGAGGAGATAACAAACTTATGTCATATGGCTAACAATAATCTTGATCAATCATATCAAGATAAGGTATTTCAACTTCCCTATGATGAACTATTCATTATTTCTTAAAATATTCATGATTCATATAAGAAGCTGAAAATGATGCATGCTAGTCTTAATATTAAATTATGCTTGTATAATTATCAAGCATTCTAATTTAGATAATGATCACATGACCTTACTCAATGAGTACGATGTCTTAAACAAGAAGTATAACAACTTAACTAATGTATATGAATCCTTGAAGGCATCTCATGTTGAACTAGAACAAGCATACAAAAGTTTAGAAGCATGTGTATAAGAAATAAACAGTTGGGAGCATATATTAAAAATTTAAATGTTCATTCTTGAAAGTGCAAACAAATTCTTAAAAGCTAACCAAACTACACTTGAGAATAATAAACCACCACCTATCTTAGAACATTTTCATAAGTCCTCAATAAAGCATACCTCACGTAAACCTAAGAAGAGGTGCCATGACCCATATAGGTTCATAAATCTATTTCCTAGTGTTAGGTGTTACTCTTGTTGCCTGGTAGGTCAGATAACCTACACTTACACAATCAACTGTATGACACATCTAGTGTGGAGGCCAAAATTTCATTCATCATAGCATAACATGCATTCATCCCATTCTTTCAAGCATAAGGAAAAACACAAAATCACTTGGGTTCCCAAATCTAACCTTTGAATGACTATGTAGGGTTGCTCTCACAAAAGGGTGTTGACCTCATTTTTTCATGAGGTCATAAGGGCCTATATTTACTCTTACCTAGTGATCCTATGGTCAACAGTCATACACATGTTAATCATATAGCCCCCAATAAAATCTCAATCTAGCCTTCAATCCAATTCCGACCCCATACTCCTATTCAGCTTACAATCAAAGTCAAATCTAATTTTCAAATCAAATCTTGGTCTTATCAAATAAATCCTAACCATTAATTTGAATATGATTTATTTGAATATTCCAAAACTTAATCAATCCAAACCCAACATAGAGCTAAAATGTAGGTTTTTAATCCAAAACATGAGGCCAAAAGCCCAAGTTCCAAAACCCTTTTTGGATAAATCTTCTATAAACTGAAAACAAAATCAAACAATATTTGATTCATGATTTTTTAGTAGCATATTGACTAAGCATATCTCTAGGGTAAACCCTCTAAATTCTAGCTCAATCTAACAATTCTAACCCCATAAACAAAATTGAAATCCAAAGGCTATAAATCCTTCAAATATTTATGGCTTGTGTCACTGGACCCTCTACCTTGTGGAATTTGACTTCGGGGCCCTCACCAAGACCTTTAATCATGTCCATGGACTCTAAAATGACATGTTAACTAGTAAACCATACTTTGCCAAAATCAATTTGACCCAGAGTTGACTAGAGGTCTAAATGACAAAAATGCCCTTTAAGGGGATTTTTGAACTTCTAACCAAAACTTAGCATGGTTCAACCTTATCAATCCCTAAAACCTCTTCTAATGAATCTCAAATACCATTTGAGATCAATTGTACCCAAACCCAAGTTTTGTTTTGACCTAGTTGACCAAGTCAACTTAGGTTGACCAAAATGCTTTTAAGGGTCCAAATACCCATTTTTTTTGACCAAATGACCTACCCAGACCTTGAAATCACTTCCACTAAACTCTAAATATCAGTTCAAAACTGTTAAGCCCAACCCATGTCCATGGGTTAACCTAGTTGACCAAGTCAACCCTTAAACTCTTTTACATCCAAGCAAACTTTAGATCAACTTCAAATCAACCCAAACCACTTTGAACACCTCCCCCAGTGGTCTGGATTTCACTGGACATTTTGACCTAGGCAATAATTTACTTGGTCAACTAGACCCAAATTTGGTCAAACTTGACCTATTTTGGTCAAACTATTTTATCCAATTAAATTAACCACTCCCAAACCTCATTATCACCTCAATGCTTGGTTTATAGGCTTCCAAGGCATTATTGACTCAAATTTAAGTAGGTTTAATCAAGTCAACCCTTTGAATTTGATTAGATCCCCATAATTTTGGTCAAAATCATAAT